TTTTTGTAAATTTTCAACCAATACCTGCCGTGTCCGGTTTTCTATTAGGGATATTTCAATTTGTCTAAGGGTATCAAGCAGCACCTCCTGGTATGCCCGGTTCATCGCTAGACAGGTCTCTGCTGTGATTGTATGAGGATCAAACCTAAACATAGCATCGTCAGCATCTGTACACACAGATGTTGTTGGCTGAAAATCAAACACATTTCATTACAGTATTATATATGGTGGACAATTGTTACCCTAGCCGAAATGAAAATTTTGTTGTCGAAATACAAGCAGGAGAATGTACTTTTTAACTGCTTAGAAAAATAATTTATACATCTATCATTAAAGCAGTGACTAGATTTTTTGCAGTAAATTCATATACACATTATTATGACATAAAATAATTTTTTTAAAAATATAAAAATCTATGTGGTTTACAAAACAATTATATTTAAACTTACAAATGATGAAGCTGTGACATCACTGCTAGTGCTGGGTCTAGATGCATTACTGTAATACTCTTCTTCTGCACAAATCAAATAAACATTTATATGTTTCTTTCATGATAAAAAAAGTACATTCATGCTATAATACATTTTTTTAAAGAATGCTTCCTGCACACCTGTCAGGCCTCGACATTAGCGGTGGTCCGTTGGTCCGAGACCACCTGATTTTGGCAAGGACCACCTAATTTTAAAATGCACTGGTCCGTCGGACCACTTGAATTTTCTGGTTTGTGCAAGGCTCATTTGGGAGAATAGCGATTTGGTCAAGACATGTTTTATACATTTTGTTTAAAACCATTTGTCCTATGAACATGTATATGGTTCATTAATAAATTAATCTGATTAGAAGGTCTTAAATCATCAATAACTTTAATTCTAAATCGCTAAAATTTTTGTCTTTGCAAGTTAAAAGAGTTAAGAATTTGTGATATTAAGCTAGGTACAAATTGCATTCAAATAATGCTATTAATGCTGCATCGTCGGATTACCACGGCGAAACCTTTAACATTTATGTTATGTTACATGTTAATCACACGTGGGTACCCGACGATGGTAATTATGATATTGTATGGGATACCGTATGAACTTTAAGTTTCATATACATGTACATGAATAATGGCAGCAAACTAAAGGAACTGGAAAAAATACATCTAGTAATTCTTTGCTTAAGTTATCTCCATTTTAACTGTTTAACGATAAGAGATCCATTTCTTCCAGAGTTAAAATTACTTTTTTTTTAAATAAAACGTTAAAAATACTCATTGTAAAAAATAAATATCAACCAACAAGCAACAGGGCGGTTAATTCTGTTTTCATAATAAATCTGTGAGAAAAATAAGCTAAACTATAGTTATATATAAAGTTGTTTTTATTTTTTATCCTTTAGATATTTTCTTGTTTTAAGTTTTATCAAAAATGTTAATCTATAAAAGATACATGTAATTATCATGATTATAAGACATACCACGTATCAGCAATGAATATTTGAATAACAGTAAGCAAAAACCAGACACAAATGGTTTCACTATTCCCTAACTTGAGTTGAGGGAGAAATCACTTCAATGTAAAAGTTAACACAAATAAGAGCCCTGTTGTGTATTTTTGAATGAGCTATGAAAAAGAAACAAATAACTTCACGACAGAATACCTATTAACTTGCCCTCCTTAATTTATAATTAGATAAAAATATTATATTTGAAATGTCTGTTTTCTTTAAAGGTTAATAATACATCTTTGTCATCAATTTTAAGCATATTTTTTTCTAAACTTGCAGTAAACTGTTATAATAATAATAATAATAATAATTGACCACTTGACTTCTGGAAGGACCACCTTAATTTCAAATCTAGTGGTCCGACTTACCACCTGATAAAAAAGTTAGTGTCGAGGCCTGCCTGTCCAAAATAATTGATTTATATGATAATGATAAGCACTTCATCAAATTAAGTGTACATTAAATTATAATTTTATTGTCACAGTATTTATTTTTCCTTTAAAACAAAAATATGCTAGCCACACCTAACTAAATGCCAGCAACTAAATTTTAGAATCGAGATTCTGACTCAAAACGAAAATAACTCAGAATCTAGCTTTGGCAAGTCAATATATTTTGACTGGTAGGCTATATGGAAGATGAAAGAAAACAGACAGTGTCAGATCATTAGGACTATGCAGATCAACAAATCTTTAAAATAAAGCAATTGAAATGGAACACCAAAAAAAATACAAAAAATTATTATCTAACAAATAATATGACTTTACAGTACCTCGTGTAAAATCATCACTTTACAGTACTTTGATACATAATCAGGAGTAACTTCCCTTGCCTAGATTTTTTTCTCCCTTCTTTCGATATCAATTTTAGATAAAAACCATGAAATAAGGTAATGTCATTGACGTAAAATAACGAAGAATATAAATAAACTTCAATGAATGAAAAATAACTCTACCGTTATTCTCTAAAATTCTTAGTTCTCCGTCACTTTCGGCATCCTCGCCATCGTCGTCTTGCAAAATTATATTCAAGCGTTCTATATCTTCGTCAATGTCGTCATGTTCCATTGTATAGTTTTAAGGTAGAATAAATATAACGTTATCTTACGGATATAATATAATTATTCAAAGATGTCGAATTAAATTAACATTTATGAAAAAGCGTGTGATGACTTCCCGCAAGAAACACACCGGAAGTATTAGATCCTCCATTTCAAGGTTGAGTTCATTATAACTAAAGGTTGATTAGGTTAGGCGGTTACACAAACGTTTAGAGCAATTTAGATTTAACAACTGTTTTCGGCGTTTATATTTTTATTGTAAAAACTTTGTTAAATGTCTCAAAAAATGTATAAATCATATGTAAATCTTGAATAAAATTTTCTTTTAAAATAAATAACTATTGACCCACTCTTCCTTTAATAAAAAGTGGTCTGTTCCAAAGGAAATTTGTAGGCTGTGCAAAAGTGGAATCTGGCATTTTTTAGACACTTTGTTTTTCTGATGTATGATTTTATTAAACATTGTCATTTTATTGAATAGACAATGTACAACTGATTTGTATTTAATGCTTTACAAAGTATACGTATTTGTTTGAAGAGTTACAGGTACTTAACATTCGTTTTTCGTACAAACAATTTTCGAACATTATGTAATTCGCCAAAGTACTGTTTCGTATTGATTTATTCAAGGTAATATAAACACATACTGATGTTACTATATTGTCACATATATCAACAGGCATATAAAACCCACAAAAATAGAACAAAAATATGATAATGGAATTAAATAGTAGATTTAATTAATAAATTCATATTTGATAATTTTTGAAGTCCTTAAAAATATGTTGTAATGTAAAATTATTAGAGCTGTCATTGATTCAGTGCAAAGCATATCAGCGATATATCGATATCAAGTAACTAAAATCAACGATACACGGATATATCGATAATATCCTATACTCACTTGTCTGTCATTCTTTTTCATACAAGTTTCAATGATTTCAGTCAAAAACATGTTCTGTACAGTGTCTTGTCCACTGCATGATTTTTTCTAGACAATATTTTTTGTCACCATTTCTATGAAATAATTCCACTATATAACAAAAGCATCACATTTGATATAATTAATTGTTTCTGCATATATTTTGGGTGAATTGTATAATTTCTAGACATTTAATTTATAAGTCAAAAGTATCGATTTTTTAAAATGTGTATCGATTATTGATCGACAAAAAAAATATCAACGATACATCGATATTGTCGATATCGATGACAGCTCTAAAAATTATTAACAGAAATGTGCCCTGACAACAAATTCATTTTGCACAAAATTATTGTGCCAATATAGTTATTCTATATATTTGGATTTCATATTAACTTTATTCTGTATATTTGGATTGTATATTCTGTTCTCACTTTCTGGCATAAATACTTTGACAATTCATAAATTGACACTAAACATTAATATGAAATTAGGCAAAGCCTTTGAACGGGGTAGTCGTTAAAAAAATCCTTTCATTCTTTCCGTTTTAAAGGTGTCATTCGATATTACATACACCGCTTCCATTTTCACTCGGAACACTCAACGATTATTACTAATTCTAATAGTTGAGATTTGTTCCGTTATCGGAATACCCCGCCTATTATCAATGACATACTTTGTAAATGGCGGCGCCTGACTAGAACTGACACTGAAAATTTCATTGATAGGTATAGAATTCTATATATTTTTTAATTGTTTTTTATTTGATTTTCTTTTAAATATTCACGTGTAGTCTATAGCCGGGCAAGCCAAAGCACAAGGTCTTTGACTTCCACGTATAATTATACTTTGAAGTTTTTTTTGAAAACTGATGTATGCTGACAGGTGTTGACACAATGAATTGGAGCATAAAGACATTATTTAGCCTAACCTATTTTTTTATACTTTGTATAATTATGTAATATATATTTTAGGTACTACAAAAAATTGTGTTATATAAAAACTTAAAATGAAAAAGGGGAAATAATTTTCACAAAAGTGACAGTAAGCTTAAAAGAAATCTCTGTATTATTTTTCTAGAGATATGATTTTTATGTCATAAGACTCTTCAGGGATTTTCATCAGCCTATTAAATAAGGTACTAATGATATTTAAAAAGGTATTAATTCAGTAGGGATATGTTACACTATGTTTACCCATGATTAACAGCCAACAGCTCATTTCCATAGGTGTTCGGCGCGTTGATTGGTCACTACCCCGGGCCAACCCCCCCGCCCCCTCACCCAATCTACAACCCTCCTACCTCTCAAAACCATGTAAACTGTAGTATTTTTCATTTTAAACATGTTTTAATATTTGGTACATGCTTTTTATTCAATTACCTTCATCTCTCACAAAAAATAAAAAAATGATATAATATAAATTTCAATTACCTTCATCTCCCACAACAAATAAAAAAATGATATAATATATATTCCCACAAAAAATAAAAAAATGATATAATATATATTTATATTATATAATTTTTTTATTTTTTGTGGGAGATGAAGGTAATTGAATTAAAAGCATGTACCAAATATAAAAACATGTTTAAAGTGAGAAATACTACAGTTTACATGGTTTTGAGAGGTAGGAGGGTTGTAGAGTGGGTGAGGGGGAGGTGGGGGGTTGGCCCGGGGTAGTGACCAATCAACGCGCCGAACATCTATGCTCATTTCCAAAGGGTTCAATTACTGTAATAATTATATTAACACAATAAATTATATTTATTAAGTGTGGTTTTCATTACTGGTAATTAAGAAAAGAAATCCAAGATTTTCTGACATCAAAATTAAGTTTTAGAATTAGAAAAAAATATTTGTATTTGATAGATTTTAATGATTCACATCCACATGATATACGGACAAGCAACTGGAGATAAGGACAGGCTGCATCATATTTTAGTCCAATATCATCTGGCACACATACAAACATTTCGTCTTGTTGGTCTTCCTTGTCAACAACAGTACAACTACATCAATATGACCATGTTCATAACTCTAGAAGTCATAATCAGAATCATCTCTCCTTGAACATAAAATTTTCCTTAAAAATATATTCGGAATCTCCTGCCTGTCACGGATTCATATGACTTTAATAGAACACAAAACTAATATAATTTAAAACTTTATTATTCATGTGTCAAATTTTATGATCTTTTTGCATGTACTTTATTATTATAAATTATCAAAGCTAGAAAAAACATGAAAAAAAACTGAAGTTTGAAAATAACAAGTCATATCCGTTATTTTCAGTCGTATCTGAGGATATGAGTCATATCCGGTGTTCATTAGTCGAAACCCATTCAAAAGCATTAAAACATAAAATTTGAAATTCTAGCATATATAATTTTGAACACTTCAACAGAAAAAATATGGAAAGATAATGAAGAAATAGTGTCAGAATTAAATTGAAAATCTTTATGCAATTCTTAGCCTAATTTGAACATTTATAGGCTTTTCATTTTTTGATCATTTTGCACACATAAAATGAATGCTCTTGAAGAAAAATTTTTGTGATTGATGGTAATTTTTTGCACCTAAGTTATTGTTCCAGACCTCCATCAAATGATACTCAAATCTGTTATAATAAAAAACCTCAGTGGAGTCCCTTTAATAAAATACCTCAGTGGAGTCCCTTTAATAATAAAAAAAAAATCTCTGTGGAGTCCCTTTAAAACTTGTCCATTGGCCTGAATCTCTTATGAATTTCATTTGCAGATGATGTTACAGAACCACCTAGAGTGGACCCATAGAATTTAAACTATGACGAGCAATGTAACACAAATAGATGTTAAGAGCAGTGAGTTCTGTCGCCAGATGTGTCCTTTGCTTGAATCCCAGGAGATACAAGTTTGTGATGGGCATCAAAACTCTATATACAATGAAAAACCTCGCATCAAGTAAGTCAGTTTGTTTCAGTGCTAACTCTTAACCTGCCACAAGTTTGTATAACGGATATGCCTAGCTTTGAATTGGATTTTTGTGTCAAAATACAAAATTTTAACTGCCAACAGTATAGAGCTTGGTGAGACTGCACCAAAGTTCAGGTTGGCCTGGCTCTATACTTAGTACTGGCAAAGGAAAATCACTTTTGGTATCAGCTAGCTAAGGGTGAAACATGAACTAGTGGGTAAAATTTATATCATAAATTATGTGCTTCAAAATGTTTTATCTATGAGGTCGTGTGAAACAGGGGTGTGTAATTCTACCAACCTTTTTGCCTAGTTCCTTAGAATTGATTCTTAGACAAATGTTATTTTATGAAAAACTTACATAATAAATTTCTCATAAATTTCATAAAATTCACACTAAAACATAAATCAAGCAATGTTAGCTATTGCTGAATTTAATGCATAAAAGTGTTTCTCAAAATAGTATTCAAAGGGTGAAAAGCAGTACATGTATTTAACTATTGACAGCAGGTTTTTCTTTCACAGATAGAAGAAGGGGCTACCCATAAATTTGTGGCAAAAATGACAGTGTATTTTTCCAAAAGGCAAAGAAAAATTAATGTGAAATGAATTTTAGTGGAAAATTGCATGATTTAAAAAGAAAAAATGTAAAATGTTAAAGCTGTCCTGTAAAGGCGCTTTAAAGGGAGAAAAATTACAGAAAGAAACATGTATTTCTAAATTTTCATGGTAATTATAATTATATGAGCCACGTCACGACAAAACCAACATAATGTGTTTGCGACCACCATGGATCCAGACCAGCCTGCTCATCTGCGCAGTCTGATCAGGATCCATGCTGTTAGCTATCAGTTTCTCTACATATAATAGGGTTTGTAAGCGAACAGCATGGATCCTGATCAGACTGCGCGGATGGGCAGGCTGGTCTAGATCCATGCTGGTTGCAAACGCACTATGTTGGTTTTGTCGTGACGCGGCTCAATTATCTTGTTTCCAGCTAAAGAGGCCTGGCTTGTTCACAGTCTTGTTGATTATTATTACATGACACAGTCATACAGTGTTGTTGATATTTTGTGTGGTGTTCAAGACCCCCATGATAAGGTACGTAAAAAAATAAGTATTGACCATCATCGTCATAAGAGTAGGTCATACTGGTTTCGGCTTTCATTTTGTATTTACTTTATACCAAGCGTTAAATTCTAATTACTCAACAATTTCAGTAACCCTTCATTTCATTTGCCCATTTCAGTAACCTATCATTTCTGTAACCCAGCATTTCAGTAACCTAGCATTTCAGTAACCTAGTATTTCAGAAATCCAGCAATTCATTTACCTAGCATTTCAGTAACCAAGCATTTCAGTAACCAAACATTTCAGTAACCCAGCATTTCAGTAACCCAGCATTTCAGTAACCTAGCATTTCAGAAATCCAACATTTCAGTTACCTAGCATTTCAGTAACCCATCATTTCAGTAACCTAGCATTTCAGTAACCCAGCATTTCAGTAACCTAGCATTTCAGTAACCTAGCATTTCAGTTACCAAGCTTTTCAGTAACCCAGCAATTCAGTTACCTAGCATTTCAGTAACCCAGCATTTAAGTAACCTAGCATTTCAGTAACCCATCATTTCAGTAACCTAGCATTTCAGTAACCCATCATTTCAGTAACCCAGCATTTCAGTAACCCATCATTTCAGTAACCCAGCAATTCAGTAACCCATCATTTCAGTAACCCAGCATTTCAGTAACCTAGCATTTCAGTAACCCAGAATTTCAGTAATCCAGCATTTCAGTAACCAAGCATTTCAGTAACCCGGTATTACAGTAACCAAGCATTTCAGTAATCCAGCATTTCAGTAACCCATCGTTTCAGTAACCCATCGTTTCATTAATCCATTTTGTCATGTGCATCATGTGCTATTATTTATAAGAGTCATAATTATCCATAAACTATTTTAACATGCTATCATTTTGTTTTAAAACAATGTTGCAATATATTCAGGCACTTACATTGAATGTTTACAGTTTTAATGTCACTCTAGACTTATGTCAATAATGGCAGCAAGAAGATGCATGTATATATGCTTCAGATAAGGCAAGCAAGGGTTCTTGTTCATAAATTTATTATTTCGAATACTCTGACAAAAATTCATAACACTTTTGATCATGAAAATTAATAATGAAATAGTCATTAATATCCAAAAGTACAATTATTACAAGGTCTACGAAAACTCTTTAATTGTATGAGATTTTTTTTTTCAGAATCTGTTGGAGAAGCTGCATGATGGAATAAAATCTCAAGAACACCAACTAAATGCTCTTCAACTTCTCCTCCACATTGTATGTAAGCAACCATTGTGGATCAACAAGATTGTAAAAATGTCAGTACTGAAGGTCATCCTAAAGTGTCTCAAGGTCAGTTAAATAACAAATTTGTAATATAGTACAAAAAATGGTTATTGAAAGAGTATCTAGATCTGAACATGTATTTGACTGAAATGGCTTAGCTCAGTAGGGACCTCTTAAACATGAGTCATTTTTGCTTGATTATTTCTTTTATTAATTAGAATACACCATTTGCATTTTTCTCAAAAACTGTCAAATATATTCGCTTTAAACTTGAAATATTTGTTGACTATCAAGGGCAGGTCAGTCTGCTAAGCATGTTTTCAGAATTATGCCCCTTTTCTATTTTGTTTTCTTTACTATCCAGCACTGAGAAAAGTGGAGTGAGCTGTACGCGATGAGGACTAATAATTGTAAACCTTGCCTGATACATTTTATAATGTCGGACATAAATGTGGCATTCTCTATACAGTCAACTATCGTTATCTCGACATCGCTTTTCTCGATATTTCGTTATCTCGATGAAATTTTGAAAGTCCCAATTTTCTTCCCTCTTTATCTATTTGGAAATATTTGTTTATCTCGATATTTTTATTTCGATATTTTCAGTAGCTCGATGTAAAATTTCAGCCCCAACAGTTATTTTCACACTATTATTCTTTGTTTATCTCGACAAATAGTTTTCTTTCGTCTGTTCCATTCAGACGTGTGAAAAACACAAACTAGACGAGAATTGCTCAATAGCGCGTGTCATAATGATGATTATGTTTGTAACAAGTTTAGCTGTTTTTATAAAAGTTAATCTATTTAGCGATTGACTTATGTCCAAAATGAGTGAATTTTACGTTCTTTATAAATATTCGAACACTGTATCAATTCATTATGACTGTAAATTTAAATGAAAAAGTGAAACTTTAAATGTAAATGAAATAGTGAAAGTATAGAAATGCTATCATTGCAATATTGTTTCACATCACCACCAAATCAATCAGCGGTCGAACAATCTCGAGAAAGACCCGATAACTAACCCGGGAGGATATCCGGACTAACCACCCTGAAAACAATGTTTTCACTATATTGGTGTATTACTGAGTAAACCTCACTATGTGTTTTTATCACAGACACCCGTATTTCCCCTGGTAAACATCCGCTAATGTTACTTTGTTTAATATTGACAAGGCCTATGAAAACAAGACATGGGGATATCATAGTATCATAGTTTATTTGACATAAAGTATGCACATGTGTTTTGTAAAAATCAGTTTCTGCCGTATTCAAACCCTTATATGTTTATCTCGACATTTCGTTATCTCGATATTTTTTTGGACGGTCCCGATGACTTCGAGATAACGAGAGTCGACTGTATATCCCTCTAAAAAGATTCTAAAATAGAAATGATATTATTTGACAATACGGTTTTGATCCATCATATATGCAATGTATGTTTGATATTTTATCAGAATTATTAAAGCAGCACGCAGATTCATTCTAATTTTCATATAAATTTTGAAAATGTATTTGAAAGTAAAATATTGTGAAATGAACAAAGAAAGTAAACTAAACAATGCTATTGGCAGTAATAATCATTTGAAATTACCAAATAGAGGTCAAAATATGGAAAAATAGCCCTTACTGCGTTATTAACGCAGTAGAAATATGGTGATAAATACTGCAAAAAAAAAAAACAGTCATTAATATAAGATATAAATTATCACTTGAATCTTTAATCTGTTTACTTTTCTCCAAGGAATACAAATCTTGCATAGATTTTTTTTTTATATTTACTGAGTTATTTCCCATTGTGAACTTATAACATTCCTACTGTCAGACACAGTTTTCAAGCATGCTGTTGGACCCTTTGCCAGCTTTTATTCCATTGTTTCCATCATTGTAGCTGTTCATATATTTCAAACTAATCTTACAGACTGAGACAAGCATCCCAGTTCTAACTACCGGCGTAACCATAGTAACCGTGCTGCTGCCTTCAATTCCTACAATAGTTGGTCCTTATCTACCAGACCTTTTTGAAATATTCAATAAGTTGGCTTCATTTAGTGTGAAAAGACCACGTAAGTATATCTTGAAGCATTTGAACAATATTTGAGTCATAAAATTTCGCAAATGTAAAGCTACTGAAATTGATATAAGCAGGTATGTCCCTGCTCCTGTCCCAGGATCCATGCTGTTCCCTAACAAACCCTATTCGGTTGAGAAACTGATAGCGAACAGCATGGATCCTGATCAGACTGCACGGATGCACAGGCTGATCTGGATCCATGCTAGTCACAAACGCGCTTTGTTGGTTTTGTCATGATGCGGCGCAAATAGTTTCTGCTTTTTGAAAGGAACTGACATTTTGAAGGTTTTACAATCAAAAGTTCAATATTCCTTCTCGCCTGTTTCAATTTCCGGACTTTGGAAGTAAACTTGAATTTATATAACCCGCCTTTTACTTGAAATCATTCACAATTTAAAAGTTCCAGAATTCAGAGATATTAATGACATAGAAAGCAGATGGAGAAATTTTGGGACTCTGGAAATGTTAGGATTTCAGAAGTTTCCGAATTTCAGAAATTTCCGGATTTCAGAAATTTCTGGATTTTGGAAGTGCCGGAATTCGGAAGTTACATTGCATGAAAAATATATTCCATATCCTTAAATATTTCAGCTGGGAACACGCCAGACATATTTTACCTACACCTGCAGATTTCGGTGTATGCCCTGTTCCATCGTCTGTATGGTATGTTCCCGTACACATTTCTGGCATATCTCAGACAGTATTATGCAAAAAAGGAAAACATTCCAGTCTTTGAGGAGGTGATAAAGGTATTGTTCACTTTTGTTTATGTCTTTAACAATAACTTATAAGACCAAATTCATGGGAGAACAGATTCATTGCAAAAAATTAGCATTATCAGGCTTCATAGGACTTTTAAAAGATGGCAGGACTTTAAAAAAACATCTTACTGAAAGTGATATAGCAGTCAAAATAAAGTCTTCAATGTTGTATCACTATTATTGTTTTTAGTTATTTTTATCATTGGTAACAAGTGCAAGGTAACAAGTGCAACGAAAAGTCCTTAAAAATGATAAGCCGAAATATTTCTAGTCAACCTTGAAAAAAAAGATTTTATGACAAAGTATTGTAAAATATTTACAATTCAAGTAATAATTTACATGTTATAGGCAATGAATGACTGATTTTGCAGTTTTTATCAACATGGAATTCATTACCTTATTTCTACTGGTTGGCTAAGGAAGTAGGGTCATGTTTACATATTTTAACATTTACTTTGTAATTGTGGATTGGAAGTGCCATTTGAAATGTTTAAATTAATTATTTGTTCATTTTAATTTTCATTTACTTTTTGATGCATTTTTCAAAATTTTCATGATAAATCAGCATGAATTTGGATGCATACCGCTATAAAGAAAGGGCTTGAATTTTGGCATTGCATGTTAGTATAAAACCCTGGATATTGTTTGTTACAGAGTATGTTGGAAAGAGTCAGGTTACATCCATCATTGATAACTGGAAACAGGGAACAGGAGACCTCCACACAAAGGTAATGTTTTTTTCTTTTTTCTAATTTTGCTCTGCTGAGAATTTGGATGGTCTTTTTAAAGGTAAAAGGATTTTAATATCAAATTACTTAAATTAAGCAACTAACTGTATTGAGCCTGGTCAGACAGCATGGTTGTGTAGGTTGGCCTGGTCCTATACTGGTGCTAATAACTTATTTTTTTTAGCTCCTATAGGTTTAAAGAATGATAGGGTAGTCCTTATCACCTGGTAATACTTGGTTGTAACCTCAAATTTGATCAACTTCTGAAGATTTAGGTAAATGTTCACCTGGTGTTTGGTAATACTTGGTTGTAAACTCACATTTTATCAACTACTGGAGATTTAGGTAAATGTTCATCTGGTGTTTGGTAATACTTGGTTGTAACCTCATATTTTATCAACTACTGGAGATTTAGGTAAATGTTCATTTGGTGTTTGGTAATACTTGGTTGTAACCTCATATTTTATCAACTACTGGAGATTTAGGTAAATGTTCATCTGGTGTTTGGTAATACTTGGTTGTAAACTCACATTTTATCAACTACTGGAGATTTAGGTAAATGTTCATCTGGTGTTTGGTAATACTTGGTTGTAACCTCATATTTTATCAACTACTGGAGATTTAGGTAAATGTTCAATTGGTGTTTGGTAATACTTGGTTGTAACCTCATATTTTATCAACTACTGGTGATTTAGGTAAATGTTCATTTGGTGTTTGGTAATACTTGGTTGTAAACTCACATTTTATCAACTACTGGAGATTAAAGGTAAATGTTCATCTGGTGTTTGGTAATACTTGGTTGTAACCTCATATTTTATCAACAGCTGGAGATTTAGGTAAATGTTCAATTGGTGTTTGGTAATACTTGGTTGTAACCTCAAATTTTTATCAACTTCTTGAGATTTAGGTAAATGTTCAATTTGCCTTGGTAATACTTGGTTGTAACCTCATATTTTATCAACCACTGGAGATTTAGGTAAATGTTCAATAATTAAATTTATGTTTGGTAATACTCGGTTGTAACCTCATATTTTATCAACCACTGGAGATTTAGATAAATGTTCAATTGGTGTTTGGTAATACTTGGTTGTAACCTCATATTTTATCAACTACTGGAGATTTAGGTAAATTTTCATCTGGTGTTTGGTAATTCTTGGTTGTAACCTCATATTTTATCAACTACTGGAGATTTAGGTAAATGTTCATTTGGTGTTTGGTAATACTTGGTTGTAACCTCATATTTTATCAACTACTGGAGATTAGGTAAATGTTCATCTGGTGTTTGGTAATACTTGGTTGTAACCTCATATTTTATCAACTACTGGAGATTAAGGTAAATGTTCAATTGATGTTTGGTAATACCTGGTTGTAATTTCATATTTTATCAACCACTGGAGATTTAGGTAAATGTTCAATTTGTCTTTGGTAATACTTGGTTGTAACCTCATATTTAATCAACTTCTGGAGCTTTAGGTAAATGTTCAATTGGTGTTTTGTAATACTTAGTTGTAACCTCATATTTTATCAAAACTTTTGGAGATTTAGGTAAATGTTCAATTATAAATTTGTTTCCTGAATGCTTTAAATTATTCCACATATAAATAAAAATAAATTACATATAATTTTATCATATTTTTACATAATGTACCATGGTTTCCATTGACACCCAACCTTACTTCTAGAGAAATCTGAAATTAAGACCGCCCTTCGAAGACAATTTAGACCACAAGTGGCCTCATTAGTGGGGTTCTACTGTATAAACTTAAAACTTCACACTTTCCTCAGGAGTGTAATTGTAGGTCTAAGTATAAGACCAGTAACTCTTGTTCTGTTATATATATAAGATCAAACTTTATATTTCACTCCAGTGATTTTTATTCCTGTATTTTACAGTCTTCCCCTAGTCCAAAATAGATATATTTTCCCCTGAAATGCCCTGGACAGTTCTTCACCAGAACCATGACTTGAGAGCAGCTTACTTATATCAGCTAGAAGTCCTGATAGATAGACTTTTCTTTGTACCATGCATGTTAAATTGAACTGAAATTGAAAATTTTATAAATGTGTGGGTAAATTACATTCTTAGTTATTGAAATTTTAACTTCAGATTTCCCCCTTTTCTGATTTATTGTGCTTTATTTTCCCCTTTAGAAAGCCATAGGTTGTTTTTAAAATTGAAAAAATAATCACTGCACTCACAACACTTTTACAAAAATAGCCCCTTTATGAATTTTTGTTTTTACCTCCTCTGAAACAAATAACAGGAAGTCATGACATTTCTTAATAAGTAAATTTAAGTAAACAGGAAATTTAAACTGTAAGCAAGCAGTGACTAATTGTTGGAATCAATTTTCATGAACTTGAATAATGTTGTTTTGAATGTCATTGCTAAAGTTATATAAACTGTTTATTACAAAAGAGATTGAAAATTAGTCATAGTACATAGTATGATTGTAGAAATTGAAATCATAAACTAAGTTGATTTAGTGGTTGCCTCAGTTTCGTTCATGGACAATAGTCACAATACTTCAAATTTAGAAAATTTCTGACAAGTCTGTTTTTCATACCTCAGTAATGTTGGTTTAATACTATAGCATTTTTTTCATGAATGCAATCTTGTTTCTACTCCTGTAACAACAAAGCCTAGAGCTTAGATGTTTGGCATATTGCTTGTAGCCTTCTACAAACATTATACAGTGAAAGTTGAGAAAACTGGATGCTGGGAAAATCGGAACTCTCTAAATACCGGACAATTTAGTCACAAATTTTCCCTTCGTTAAACTATTGCATTTAACATTGACAATACGAGAATCTGTAAAAACCCAATATCTGACGGTTGATAGGGGACTATGCAATGCCATGAAGTCAAATATATAATTATCCTGACAATACAGTACAGTGCACTGGTGTAAATAACTTTATGTACATGTCAATTGGTTGTGTCTTAAAAGCTACCTGAGCGGTAACGTAAGAACTGATTGTCTGATTTGTTTATTATGTCTTTTTTTGCATTTTTATTGTAAGGCATAGTCATTGCCTGATATGTAGGATCCTGAAGGGGACACCGCTGAGAAAACCGGACAAAACGCTCCGTTTGCAAGCGGTCCGGTTTTCTCAACATGCACTGTAGTTATCATGACCAAGTGGTCAAAATTGGCCCTGTCCTTGTTGTCACTTGCATTCATTTAGATTTACGTAAAGGACAACACATCTTAATCTTTATGTCCAGAGCTTATACATGTATATTTGGCATTTAGCATTGCTAATAGATCTCTACAAAAGTTTTTATGATTCATGAACCCAGTGTAAAAAATGCCTCTACCCTGGCATCATATAGTGTCATATTGATAAGTAATATAAATTATTTTACAGATAATTTTCTTAAATAGACCTGTTTCCTAATTGAAAGATTATTTTTGATCACTCAAACAAATTTTCATTTGAGCCTATATTGCCCCCCCCCCCCACTTTCCAGTGCTGTTGTTTCTTATTAGCTTCTAACTATTACTTCAGTGTTACATTTCAATCTTTGAACTGCAGTAACTGAATGTGATTAACCTTTGCCACCTATGTGTAGCCAGGTAGCTTAATTGTTGTCTTTTTAATATTGAAATCCCTTAAACTTTGAATAGAATGTTAGAATGTTTCAAATTTAAAGTAGTGCAGATCCATACAGAAGGTTTAGGGTAAAGTGTTGGAGAATGAAAGACAGTTAAGCAGTTGCTGTAAAAATTTTGGATAGGAGACATTATCAGATAGTACATCAGATAGTCATTATATAAAGGTATTGTTTTTCATCCAAAGTTTTGTTTTCATTATGGTGAAAGTTCTTTAAAACCAATATGATTTATAATTTATAAACAGTCTTGCCATACTGTATAAAATTATGTCATTTCTCAGGTCATTTTTTATGCCCCCACTTTGGGTGGTGGAGCTAACTTAGATTTGCTGTTATCTGTCTGTCTTACAGTCAAGCTGTCTGTCCGTCTGTAGACCTAGCAAACAGTGGGAAGTATGTGCATCTGTGTCCTGTGGACACATTCCTGGTTCATCCAAAATGTTGTATTAATTGTTGTGGAGAAATTTTGTTATAACACAGAAATCTATGTAACCATTCATTGTCTAACTGTCATTGCTCAGTTTAATATTAGATATTGATTTCCATCTGCTATGTTGTTTTGACCATTATTGATATTCTTTTATAACAAGAATATAGTCAATTAAATACCATTCCCAAACTGTTAGAAACCAGGTCATTGATCGGTTCATTTTTAATCATTGTTTTTCATCGGTGATGTTGTTTTGATGCTGTTTTGAATGTATTGGTAAGAAAATCTTAATGATAAGGAAATTTTTATTAGCAGTTGTTACAAAACTGATTGCAAACATTACTTGGACAAAAGAACACATATGACAAAACTGGCATGTTGAATAATTCTTATATTACTATGATCTTTAGTTGACCTTGACTGTCATGCTAAAATTGTCATTACTTTGTTATTTATTTTTGTGCCCCCACTTTAGTGGCGGGCATTTAGATTTACCCTTGTCCATCCGTCCATTCTCTTTTGTGTTGCATGTAACTCAAAAAGTATTTGACCTAGAGTCAGGAATGTTGATCAGCATGTGAAGTTGTGCACCTGGGTATTTTCGTCTGGATTTATTTAGTATTTTTAGAGTTATTGCCCTTGACTTAGTAAAATTTTGCAATTTTCAACTTGTGTCGCATGTAACTCAAGTATTTGACCTAGAGTCATGAAACTTTACAGGAATGTTGATCAGTATGTGTAGTTGTGCACCTGGGTATTTTCGTCTGGATTTATTTAGTATTTTTAGAGTTATTGCCCTTGACTTAGAAAATGTTTGCAATTTTCAACTTGTGTCGCATGTCATTAAACCTTATGGGAAGGTTGCTCAGCATTTTTAGTTTTGCACCGAGGGTTTCGCTTGTGGATTTATCCAGTATTTGTAGTTATTTCCCTTGACTTAGTAAAAACTGTTTCATTATGTTGTTATTTGTTCCTTGAGTGCTTGAGTTAGAATCGACCAACTTTACAGGAATAATGATCATCATCACTAAATTACAGGAATAATGATTCACATCACTGTGAAGCTATGAACCTGGGACTTTGCATGTGATTTTTTTTCAGTTTTGTTAGAGTTATTGCCCTTGACTGTAGTATAAATTTGCAATTTTCAACTTGGGGTTTGCTTGTGGATTTATTCAGTATTTGTAAAGTTCTTGCCCTTTACTTAGTAAAAGATTTTTAGTATTCAAAAAATATTTGACCTAGAGTCATAAGATTGACAGAACAGTGGCGCGGTGGGGGCACCTGTGTCCTATGGACACATTTCCAGTTGGATTTGATTCATTCCTGGACAAAAAAAACACATAAGACATAACCGACATGATGATTAATTTAAATGTGATCTTGACCTTTAAATAACCTTTACCATCATGGTCAAATATGAAGTTTGAATTTTATTTGTAGCCAAAATAATTATGACTTTGTTTGAGTATTCTTTACTATAATATTGATAATTTGAAGTGTTTGATAAATTCGAGTTTGGACCAGTTTTAACGATGGCTCTTGTGTAATGTTTCGGTAACTCCTGTCATATAAAATAGCTCTCTTGAAGCTTAAATTGCCTCATTCAAGTAACTTGATCCATGATTTTACTTGATTTAAGTGATGTCAATTTGTGTTAAAGATATTTTTATTGATACAGTGACCCGAGTGAATCTTATCATGTACATGTACCTGTATTCATTTAAAGATGGCGGCAGATGGAGACAAGTGATGTGGTTGTAGAATGTAACAAGATGTCTTTAGATCCAGTGGAAGGAACATGGGAGGAGCTACAGTGTCCAATCATAGCTTCAAGATATCTGAGTGACAGGCCTGCAACCAATCAGGAGAGACAGGGACTCATTTTACAACCCCTTAAATGTATGTGTCCCCTGAATCATTGTATGACATGTATGGCCCCTTAAATGTATAATTTGTACCTACCCTTAAATATTTGATTTGTACCACTCCTTAAATGTTACAAATTCTTAGGGTGCATATGTGCGTGCGTTCTTCTATTGTGTTCACGTGTTGCTCTAAAAGTGCTTGAGCTAGAGTCCATAAACTTTACAGGAATGTTGATCAGCATGGATAGTTGTGCACTGTGGATTAATTCAGTTTTAATTGTTAATTTTTTTCAGAGTTATTGCCCTTGAATAGTAAAATTTACTATTCTCAACTTCTGTCGTGCGTAGCCCAAAAAGGAAATTTAATTAAACTTTACAAAAATGTTGGTAAGCATGTATATAGTTGTGCATTTGGGGGTTTGCTTGTGGATGAATTCAGTATTTGTAGAGTTATTGCCCCTGACTTATTAAAAATTTGCAATTTTCAGCTTGTGTCACACGTAACCTGAAAAATATTTGATCTAGATACATGAAACTTTACAGAAATCTTGGTCAGCATGAGTAGTTAAGTACCTTGGGTATTGAATTTATTTTTATTCAGAATTTGTAAAGTAAATGCCCTTGACTTAGTAAAAACCATTTCAAAATGTTGTGTCCTCTTGAGCTAGGACCGACAAACTTTACAGGAATATTGATCAGCATGTGAAGTTGTGCACAGGGGGTTTTGCCTGTGGATTACATGTAATTCAGTTTTGCTATAGCCCTTGACTTAGTATAAATTTGCAATTTTTCACATGTGTCGGGCCTAGTACTGGAGTGACCCGGAGTCATAAAACTTTACAGGAATGTTGGTTAGCATGTGAAGTTATATATGCACCTGGGGGTTTGTTTATTGATTTATTCTGTATTTGTAGAGTTATTGCTTTTGACTTAGTAAAAAAATTGCAATTCTCAACTTCTTTTCAGTGCTTAACTTAAAAGTAGTTAACCTACTGTTTGTTTGAAACTAGTTTTGTTGGTATTTTGATCTATCTTGTTTAAACAGAGAAGAAAACATTTGTAATCATCTTTGCCTAGTAAATATTTGTGAAAATACCAACTGAGAGAAAATAACTAATTGATAATTACAAAACTTAAAACAAAATTTAATATTCATAACATACTTAAACTTAATTTTGCCTATTACAGTACCATCAGTTTCCATGGCAACAACCGGACAGCAAGACACAAACCAGGCTGGTCAAGACACATTCTGGAGCCCGTCAGAGGTGATCGGACTGTCAACCCCTCCAGCTACCCCGGCATTGAGCAGTCTAGAAACCTCGCTAGGGGGTACCACCACATCCCATGGTAAATCATTAAACAGTCTTATTAAAAACTTAGTGGTATTAGTTACTATAGGAACTATGTTACCATGGTGAAAATTTTACTTTAAAGCAGCACACCTCCAGATTCATGCAAAATTTCATGAAAATTTTGAAAATGTATTTGAATGTGTTATATTGTGAAGTAACCAAAAGGAAGCAATTTACACATTATCATTGGCACTTACAAACCACGTTACCAAAATGTGGTCAAAATATGGATAAAAAGCCTTTACTGCGTAAGTAACGCAGTAGATATATAGTTGTAAATACTGAAAAATCAGTCATTAATCGCACAAACTATGTAAAATATAACTTGAATCTTGAAACTTTTTACTTTTTCTTATATCTTAGTACATTTTTCTCAAGTTTGATTTTATTGAAATATTTTGACTCATCTAGAGGCATGTAGCTTTAAGCCAGATTTTAGGCAAATGTTTCTACATGTGTGATAGTGTATGTAAGTTTCCTTGTTTTGTCCATATCTATAATGTAAGTGTTCAAATCCATTTCTTTGAAGAAAAAAAATATACTGGGTTTGGTTTACTAAAATGTGTCATGCAAAATATCTCACTTTCAGTGAAATACAGTGTATGATGAAATTAAATACATATTTTAATTTTCAATATTTTTGCTGTAAAGAAATTTTTTTCACTGCCTGGTGTCTACTTTCGTTTTTGATCCATGATTAATTCATATTCTCCAAGGTATTAGACATATTGTTGTTTAAATAAATATGTTACTGTATTTCTTTAGTAATGACTTTTCATGAGTGCTTATTGCAAACATGTGCTTAATATTATTACTAATGAATACTGACCAACTTGATTTGCATTTATGTCATTGCTACAAATGTTTGTGTTTATGTTTCTCTAATAATACACATGTATTTAATTTTAAAAAATATCTTTCTGTTCATTTATAATTTGTGGTTTTAAGTGATTAACCATCACTTCTACAGTTAAATACTGCAGCATTACCATTATCAACAATAACAGTCCTACTACATAGCACATTCGATCAGGCACATGTATATACATGTATGAATGTAAACATAATGGCAGCAGATCCACATTACTTCGTTTGTCACAAAGTAATATATTAAGTCCCTTGAAATTCGAGTAACCGTAAGTCAACTGTATATGTATATCCAAAATGTAAAATTTTAAACAATACAGATAAAAAATGGCATGTAAAAAAAATGAAGTGATGCCTTTTCCAATTTGTTATTATGCAAAACTATTATGATAATTGAAGAAAATTATCTACCTGTTAAAGAGGACTTCAAGGTTATGACGCTATTATATATATATATTTATATATATGAGCCGTGCCATGACAAAACCAACATAATGGCTTTGCGACCAGCATGGAACCAGACCAGCCTGCGCATCCGCGCAGTCTGATCAGGATCCATGCTGTTCGCTTACCAACTCTATTACAATTAGAGAAACTGATAGCGAACAGCATGGATCCTGATCAGACTGCGCGGATGCGCAGGCTGGTCTGGATCCATGCTGGTCGCAAAGCCATTATGTTGGTTTTGTCATGACGCGGCTCATATATTGAAAGGTACTATCTAAAGAGGTAAAAATATTGATTGTGTTTGACATTAATTGCTATATTTTTATTAGCTCACCTGTCACAAAGTGACAGGGTGAGCTTTTGTGATCGCTTTTCGTCCGGCGTCCGTCCGTCCGTAAACTTTTACTTTAAATGACATCTCCTCATAAACCACTAAACCAATTTCATCCAAACTTCACAGGAATGTTCCTTTGGTGGTCACCTTTAAAAATTGTTCAAAGAATTTAATTCCATGCAGAACTTTGGTTGCCATGGCAACCGAAAGAAAAAAACTTTAAATATCTTCTTTTAAAAACCCAAAGAGCTAGAGCTTAGATATTTGGCATGAAACATCTTCTAGTGAGTGTCTACCAAGTTTGTTCAAATAAAAGCCCAGGGGTCAAAATTGGCCCGGCCCCAGGGGGTCATTGATTTTCCCTATATGCATATAGTAAAAACTTAAAAAATCTTCTTTTAAAGAACCCAAAGAGCTAGTCTAGAGCTAAGATATTTAGCATGAAACATGTTAAAATGGGTGTTTACAAAGTTTGTTCAAATAATAGCCCTGGGGTCAAAATTGGCCCCGCCCCGGGGGTCATTGATTTTCCTTATATGTGTATGGCAAAAACTTAAAAATCTTCTTTGAAAAACCCAAATAGCTAGTTTAGATATTAAGCATGAAACTTCTTCTAGTAAGTGTCTTCAAAGTTTGTTCAAATAAAAGCCCTGGGGTTAAAACTGGCCCCACCCCAGAAGTGTCATTGTTTTTAACTATATGTGTATTGTAAAAACTTAAAAAATCTTCTTTTAAAAAACCCAATGAGCTAAGGGTTAGATTTTAAGCAGGAAACATCTTTTTGTTGGTGTTTACCAAGTTTGTTCAAATAAAAGCCCTTGGGTTAAAATTGGCCCTGCCAAGGGGGGGGGGGGGGGGCGGCGGAGGTCATTATTTTTCATTATATGTGTGTAGTAAAAACTTACTTAACATCATGAAACATCTTCTAATGGGTGTCTTCCAAGTTTGTTCAAATAAAGGCCCTGGGGTGAGTAACCAGAAGCATTCGTTAGAGTTACGCTCATCGTTAAGCCTTGGTTAAGCTCTAGTTAGTAATTTACCCTCTAACCCAAAACGTTTGTTATACCAAAAATTGTAACGAAACTGTCGTTAAATAACGAATACCTCGGAGTACACGTTATACCTTTGTTAAAGGAAAAACAACGTGTGAAGCTCTTTCAAGAAGCTTTTTATGAGTATATTTTATTTCTTATAGCGTATTTTCTTTCTATTTTCCTGATAATAGATAGTAAGTTTTTGATATGCATGGTGTTACAATCTGTTTATGTCTTAATGTGTAAAGTTATTATTATTTTTTTATTAATTCATTTATTTATTTATTTATTATTATTATTATTATTATAATCATCATTATAATTATTATTATTATTATTACTGCATTCATTTTCAAAATAATACGTTAAAGTGACATTATGCCCTTATGCCCATCCAATGGTATGTAGTGAGAAAACGCATGAAGATCAAAATAAGTTTTCATTTTGTCATAATTCCTTTTAATTTTATAATTTAGTTCACATCAACAATAAATAACTCACAGATCCGAACAAAATTTCTGTAAATATCCATTACAATTTACCTTTAACGCTAAGTTTAACAATAATAATAAATGGCACATACGGTACTCATTGAACTTGAGTGAGCATTTCTTTCGTAAATGATTTTTAGAATAATTCCAAATATCTTTATACATGTTTTTTCATTCCGCAGACAATGGCCGCCATGCTGCTAGAGTATTTAGATAACTGACATACTTTGGACTCTCAAATATTTGAATGCTTCTAAGAAGGTTGATTTATTTCATTAATGCACGCCTTAGCTATCTTATGTGATAGTATTTTTTCTTATCTGTGTCATTTCCTCATATTTCCTTATTTCTCTAAACAAGCTAACACTTTTTGTATTGCATGTTTAACTACGCATAACATTCTTTCATGTATGGAATCAAATATATATAATATTACATTAAAGTTTCAAGTTTTTAATACTTATACCTTATACTAGTTCTATGTACAAAGTGAAATTAAGGAATTCAGCATAAACACATTAATGTACAATGAAAGAGCGTAACACAGTTTATGGATAAATTTTGACGTTTTTGGTTATAATGAAATTCATCTGAGTATATTAATAAAACCATTATATATGTATCATATGGTTCAAATTATTGGTTTACCTCTATTTTCATGAAAAGTAAAGATAATTAATCGAAACTTGCTTTGTTTCCCAATGTAATTTTCAAATTTTTACCAGTGTGTAACAAAGGTTATGTAAAGAACGTTTTACAGAGAAAAGCAGTTCATTCATTAAAATAAAAAAAAAATTACGTTACTATTTAGCGTCAATATTTTTGAAAGAGTTCTTCGAAAGCATCAATTAAGATATTAGCGAAGATATTATTGCCATTGGCCAATAATCATAAAGTTTTAAACTATTTTATTACCTTATTCTTAAAAAAAAATATTTCACATTTATTGAAAAATTGATACTTCGCCTTTAAAAGGAAATATAATTAACAATTTCTCTTAAATTGTGTATAAATCTTTATTTATGTACATTTCATCACAAAGAAATATCAAATCATAATTTATATTTATATTATTTATTTAGCAGGTAAGAGATTATTTTACTTTTTTCTATCATTGTATATTTATCTCGAAAAGTATCCAAGTGTTATTGTTTTTTATTTACTTTGCACTTTAACATTTACTCTTAAATAATGTACTCCTCTTTTTCATCACACACATATAACCTGTCAAGACCGAATTAAATATTCTGTATCTTAGATATGAGGCAATGAACTTATATATCTAGTCCCTCCTTTTGTATTTTGTTGCAAATCCAAAATGTTCAGTTGTTTCCTGTCTATATATTTTGCTAGAACGTTGTATAATGTTAAACTTTATTGTATTGTATTGTATTGATAAAAAATTAATTAATCTATACATCTGTATTAAAGAACATACAAATTCCATTAAACATTTTTATGTATATTGCAGATATTTTCTGATGATATATCTGTGATATAAACATGTATATTTAATTACGTTTAAAACAGTTTATCATCAACGTTATAATATCATTTTTTTTTTATTTGAAATAACGTTCAAGTATAATTACCCGTGCTCGTACTACAAATGACGTCATTAAAATGTAACGTGACATTGTCTTCAAAATTTATTTTAATTCATTGAAAATAAGAATTGAAACTGTATTGTTTATGCATTTCTATCAATGTATTATCACACTTAGTATGATGATGTATTATGTACATATCAAATTAAAAAATGTTCTGTTCTGTTCTATTCTATACTATATACATACATACATACAAACAAACAAAAAGATTTATAAAGAGTGTCAACTGTTTCTTTGAAGCAGTTGTGCGTTCACAGATATATGGTTGTACATTTGTATAAACATTTTTAAACAATTTATTAACAATTTATAAACAATTATTTGTACGTGCAATGTAATCTATGCAGGAAAAGCTAATAACAGGTGATGCCAAAATGCTGTGTATACCCTTAACGATTACACAACGATTCCGTTAATGAATTTTACTAGCGACTGATTAGCGATATGGTAACGATGCTTTCTGGTTATGCAACAAAAACAATCGTAAAAATAAATAACGTGTTCGTTACGCGATCGCTAACGCCTTCGTTAGCGTGATTTTAACGAAAGCTTCGGGTTACTCACCCCTGGGGTTTAAACTGGCCCCGCTCCGGGGGCCTATATACAGGTGAGCGACCTCAGGGCCATCATGGCCCTCTTGTGTTTTTAAAGCAGCAGGTAAAATGATTAATATTTATTTAATAAACAGTAAGCCCAGCAGTGATTTTGAATGCCGGAACCCCCATGAACACACCTAGAGAGACGCCACCCATTAGTGAAGAACATGATAGGGTAATTATATCTTCCCTTTTACACCTTTTACAGTATTATTTTCAATTCAGAATTTTTCATCTGATTTATTTTCAAATAACCTGGAGGTAGTGGAGGACAAAGAGAAACCACACGTCACCACCTAATAGGTTAAAATAATTTATTACAGCTGATTTATTTTCAGTCAAAAAACAAGATAAAGAGACAACATGAGTTTGTCATCCATAGAAATTGCTTATCCTTATGGGGCTTCTTCATTTTAAATTAAAAATAAGAATCTTTTGTAATTTTTATGTAGAAAAATCATAGACACGAAGCATATTTAGGATTTAGGGTTAAAGGGTATTATTAATCAAGTTCAATATTTTATTTCAGCATGCCAGTAGAACTAGTAGCAGAGGAGCTCCTCACGTCAAGCTGGTTGACCCCAAGCGACTTAGCTCAGAGTTTCCTGTCAATCAGTCTGTCCCCTTGTTGACCCCTTCAAGTAACATGCAGAGCGTGCCACCTTCCCCACTGAAGGCGGAGTTTACAAACACGCCTCCTCTTGGAGTGAAGACACTCCCAGTAATGAATGCAGCCAGGGAACTGCAGTTTGATCACGACCAATCAGACGAAAAAACAATGGGTCATGTGACCAGATTGAACCCATCACATGAGTTTTCAAAAAATGTTGTCAAGCCAGAACCCTTTGAAATAAGACCACCTAGGAAAATTTCTGAAGGTCAAATGAGTGCTAGTGGTCAGAACACGCCTAGAAGAAGTGGGTCTGCAACAATGTTTGAAGACAGTCTGAGAGGTATTGTCTATTTATTATTTAAAATTTAGGTAGATCTAGACTTCAAATTCAGCAGACTATTGTTACTCTTAACAAAAATACTGTTTAGCCTGTACCACACTTATATCCACACAATATCCTAGTAGGAATGGTCCATCTTTCTACTTGGACACAACCATTCAGTAGTTTCAGTGAAAGTTTCAAATATGTACTGACAGAATTGTGAACAGTGCCGACCATGATCAGATGATAGGGATATGCTGCCTATCTTGGACTGACAGGTAGTACCTGTTGCCATCAGCAGGCAAAGGGTTAATAGTCCATAAGACATGACTTTATTTTAGCCGCCTCACGACAAAACCAACATAATGCGTTTGCGACCAGCATGGATCCAGACCAGCCTGCGCGTAGTCGCAGTCTGATCAGGATCCATGCTGTTCGCTTAGAAACTCTATTACAAATAGAGAAACTTATAGCAAACAGCATGGATCCTGATCAGACTGCGCGGACGCGCAGGCTGGTCTGGATCCATGCTGGTCGCAAGCGCATTATGTTTGTTTTGTCGTGACACGGCTCAATTTTGTACTCTTAGGTGCCAAGTATTGTTGCTTTCAACTTTGCATGATGAAAAGAAGATAAATATGTGATTTATATAATAAACAGCCAACTCCTTGAAAAATTTGGGTTTATAATAAGCCATCAAAAAGTTTGAGATTGATATAGATACATGTAGTTATATATTTACTGTTTCCAGAGTGATTTTATAATTTTATTGATTTCTGTTTTAGAGAGTAGTCAAGATACAGGGGAGGTAATTGAGAAAGTGAGAACTCCATCAGTAAGTTCAGTAACAAAGGCAGATAGAGTGTCAGTGGATACAATCTCGCAGGTGATAGAAGAATTAGAAAGTCAACCTAGTCATGACGGTAAGTTAACCCTTATCCACCTGATTTTCTTAAATAGACTTGTCCAGGTTCAAGTTTTGGAACTGTCCATTATCAAATTTAGGGATATCAGGATGATGATTTTTTGCATGGCAGGCCATGTAACCACCCAATGGGCAGGTCCCTTCGTGACAGATATTCTGGTCTGAACCACAGCATATGACCAATATTATTATTGATGATGGTTGGTCCCTTTGTGACTGAGGGGTTGCCTTTACTGTTTGAGGCATTAGAGTTGCAGCAACCGTTTAACCCTGCTTGATCGTAAGAAATGGATTTGACTTATTGGAGTCAATGCATCTTGCTCAAGCAGGTGAGGTTGTTTTGACCCCTGGTGTTGCTTAAAGTTTGTAACACCCTAGGTTTGCCAAAATCATCTTTCCCTGTTTCCTGTTGGCTTGGCTTTATACTGATTTACAAAAGGGTGCTGTAATCAGTTTGTTAAAAACAGACCACAAACAAGAAATACTTTGTACTTAACAATGCTGTTGTTATTGAGATGTATATAAATCTCTTCTTAATTTATTTAATAAGTGTAAAACAAATCCTAAAAAAAGATACATAGATACATGGGCATTGAATTCAACAAGTTTAATTGAATTTCAGAGGACAGTGATGATGAAGTGTCCGAGTTGACCTCTAGTTCTAGGTCACATGGTATAGGTCATTCGGCAATGCTGACATCGGAGTCTGTGAAGAAATTCATGAAAAACGTAAACAGAATCCGTTTTAATAGCCTCACTGCTACCAACAGCATTGAACCTGAGCCGGTGAAAGGTTTCAGCTGCAAAAGGTCAAGGTCATGTCCGCAGTTTCCAAAAATAGAAACAACAATGGAAGAAGATGAAGAGTTAATTTCAAGGTCAGTTTCAGTGACATGTCAGAATACGTCTCATGAGGAGATAGAATTTAAATCCAACTTCGAGGAGATTCAGTCAGAAGCTGTGAAGGAGCCAATACCGGTGGCACCAGTGCAGCCAACGGACAACATTTGTGACATTTCAATATCTAGCACAGGAAGTATGGTCACTGTCAACAAAAAACAGGAACCAGTCGCCGTCGCCTCTGTGCCGTCTCCTGCAGTTATACCGGTTCCGAAATGTCCCGTGTACTCTGGTAAATCAGATGATGTTGAGACTAATAGAGAAACAGACGACTTGTTACGAATCCTGAAACAGATACTGAACATGCCGTCTGCAACTACTTGTGCGAAATGTCAAGGTCAGATGGACGGATCACAGATTGGTAAATATAAATACAATGCAAATTTTATTTTATCATTCTCCTCTGATGATATCAGTAGGTAGATATGTAAACAATGTTGTCTGGATTAGTAATGAATTAATCAGGTCATCGTTCAGGCTGTTTAATTCTTGAAAAATAAAGCATTTATATTGGAAAATCTCACATAGCAATATTTTTCAACTGTTTGAATAAATGTCTTTTCACATTTAATAAAACTTTAAGCTTTTGAAATTTCCCTGCTAGATCTAGAAAATAAAAATCTGCGAAGATTACAACCAGCTCTTCTGGGAATAAAACATTTGTCTTTTTAGCTCACCTAAGCACAAGTGCTTAAAGAGAGCTATTGTGATCTCTCGTCATCAACCTGTCTGTACAGATGTCCGTCTAGTCTTCTCTTTGAACAATGTCTCCTCCTAAACCTACGGGTTTATATCATTTAAACTTTATTGAATGCTCCTTGGGTTATCTTCTCTCAAAGTTGTTTGAAAATATTCCATTTCATGCAGAACTCTGGTTGCCGTAGGAAAACCTTTCAAAATGTTTAATTTTGATATTATTTTACAGAAACGATCTTTGAGTGAACAGCATATAGATCAATAAATATAATCTTGGTTAAATCTGTTGGTCAAATAAAAATGTGAATCGTAAATGACGAAATATCAAGAAAGTGAAATTACTTTTTAACTTAATATAAGTCAATTTCAAGGCCCTGGGGGGATTTGATGTAGTGTTACATTGTATGTTAGGTTGTCCGTGGCCAAGTGGTTAAGGTTGTTGACTTCAAAGCACTTGCCCCTCACTGCTGTGGGTTTGAATCTCCAAAGGACCTATGGATTATTTCATGTTAGGAAGCTATCCAGCTAGCTTATGAAACAACGGTGTTTCTACTCAGGTGCCCATTTGTGCCTGAAATTATTTTGGAAGGGAACCTGAGGTCTTCCTCTACCAATAAAGCTGGAAAGTCCCCATATCACCTATATTGTGTTGGTGCAACATAAAACCCAACCACAAAAAAGGAAACTTTCCAAATCTTTTTATACCCCCAAAAACGAAGTTTGGGGGGGTATATAGGAGTCACCCGGTGGTCGGTTGGTCGGTCGGGCGGTCGGTCGGTCGGTCCAGACGTCCGTTGCATTTTCCTTGTCCGGACCATAACTTGAAGACTAATGGTTGGAATTCAATATAACTACATACAATGGTCAAGCACATTGAGAGGAAGTGCAGTGCACAAGAACCATAACTCTATCTTGACTAATTACAGAGTTATTGCCCTTTGTTACTTTTCCTTGTCCGGGGCATAACTTGAAAACTACCGGTTGGAATTCAAAACAACTTCATACAATTGTCAAACACAATAAGGGGAAGTGCAGTGCACAATAACCATAACTCTGTCTAAAGTAATTACAGAGTTATTGCCCTTTGTTACTTTTCCATTGCTTTCTTTTGTCCGGACCATAACTTGAAGACTAATGGTTGGAATTCAATATAACTACATACAATGGTCAAGCACATTGAGAGGAAGTGCAGTGCACAAGAACCATAACTCTATCTTGACTAATTACAGAGTTACTTCCCTTTGTTACTTTTCCTTGTCCGGGGCATAACTTGAACACTACTGGTTGGAATTCAAAACAACTTCATACAATTGTCAAACACAGTAAGGGAAAGTGCAGTGCACAAGAACCATAACTCTATCTAAAGTAATTACAGAGTTATTGCCCTTTGTTACTTTTCCATTGCTTTCTTTTGTCCGGAGTATAACTTGAAGACTAATTGTTGGAATTCAATATAACTACATACAATGGTCAAGCACATTGAGAGGAAGTGCAGTGCACAAGAACCATAACTCTATCTTGACTAATTACAGAGTTATTGCCCTTTGTTACTTTTCCTTGTCCGGGGCATAACTTGAAAATTACTGGTTGGAATTCAAAACAACTTCATACAATTGTCAAACACAGTAAGGGGAAGTGCAGTGCATAAGAACCATAACTCTATCTAAAGTAATTACAGAGTTATTGCCCTTTGTTACTTTTCCATTGCTTTCTTTTGTCCGGAGTATAACTTGAAGACTAATTGTTGGAATTCATTATAACTTCATACAATGGTCAAGCACATTGAGAGGAAGTGCAGTGCACAAGAACCATAACTCCATCTTGACTAATTACAGAGTTATTGTCCTTTGTTACTTTTCCATTGCTTTCTTTTGTCCGGACCATAACTTGAAGACTAATGGTTGGAATTCAATATAACTACATACAATGGTCAAGCACATTGAGAGGAAGTGCAGTGCACAAGAACCATAACTCCATCTTGACAAATTACAGAGTTATTGCCCTTTGTTACTTTTCCTTGTCCAGAGCATAACTTGAAAACTACTGTTTGGAATTCAATACAACTTCATACAGTTGTCAAGGACATTAAAAGGAAGTGCAGTGCATAAGAGCCATAACTCAATTTTGACAAAATACAGAGTTACTGCTCTTTGATACTTTTCCTTGTCTGGAGCATAACTTAAAACGTACTGGTTGAAATTCAAAACAACTTCATACAAAGGTCAAGCACAAAAAGAGGAAGTGCAGTGCACAAGAACTATAACTCCATCTTCAGTATTTATAGAGTTATTGCCCTTTGTTCCTTTTCTTTGTCTTTCTGGACTTATTACAGAGTAATTCAATAAAACTTCATCAATGGCCAACCACATTGAAAGGAAATGCAATATACAAGAACCACAACTATCTTTAATTGCCCACAACCATAACTCTATATTTCAATTCTTTTACAAGATATTCTGTTACTAGTAACATCCTCATTTCCGAAGCAGTCTTGTGGGGGTATTAATCACATTTAGTGATAGTTCTAGTTTAAAACTCTTGTGAGTGATACATGTCCTTTATAGATCTCTTGTTGATGGCAAAACGCTATATTATATCATCTGAACAAATTAAATGCTTTAAAAGGGGTTGTTAATTTTTTTTATGGTTACCTTGCAAACACTTCTTTTTTAAAAGACACTGGTTGTAAAGAGTTAAAAAAAAAAAGTGGTTTTGGTGTAGGTGCTTACCAGTGACTAAAATAATTAACAGATACTTTTTAAGTTGACTTCTACCAGTAAAACTTAAAGAAGTGTCACACAATCCATAAAAAAACCAACAACTTCCACACAACCACTTGACTTAAGTTTACTTTTAGAAACCTAAGATTCTATTTAAGTGCAGGTACATGTAATTCAAACATGAAATTTTCAGCTTATCTCATAATATCATTATGATCATTTACTCTTTTTCTAGCTTAGAATTTGGAACAGTTGATTTAAAAATTAAAAGCACATTATTCCACAGAGATCCATATTTTTTAATTCTTAAGAAATAAACATGTGTTTAATAATGTTCAAATAATGGATTTAGAGCATGTAAGATGTTCAACAATTGATGGAAGTAGCAATGAACATGTAGTCATGTGTCATAAAGTTAGCAAAATGTAATCAAAATAGCATTACAGCCGTGTCACGACAAAACCAACATAATGGGTTTGCGACCAGCATGGATCCAGACCTGCCTGCGCATCCACGCAGTCTGATCAGGATCCATGCTGTCTGCTTACCAACTCTATTACAAGTGGGGGAACTAATAGTGAACAGCATGGATCCTGATCAGACTGTGCGGATGCAGATGTTGGTTTTGTCGTGATGCGGCGTATTTTGACTTCCTTACATAAAATCAATTTACTATACCTATAACAAAAAGCAAAAGATGCAAAAAAGAGAGTTCATCTATGTGGCAAATGACTTATACATTTATTTTGAAAACTGTAAAAATACCAAAAAATAAAATAAAAATGATAGCATTTCTGGGGCATAATGGGCCTTTAAGCGATTTTGATACAAAAATTGAGCCGTAAACAGTAAAGACCCTGGTGGCAAAAGCTAACCTTCAGTTTAGTAGATTATTGGTTATTCAAAAATTTGTAAATTATTTCCATGTACTAAGGTGATCAGTTTTAAATTATTTCTTGTTCTGCAGGTCCATCGAAGCCGTTTTTTAGCACATTCTCACCTCCGGAGTTATTAGACCGCCATATTAGCCTGGGAAAAGATATTCATGCTAAAGAACTTAGTAAGCTTCCAATTCCATCGACGCAGGAGGTGAACTGGACACACTTTGGAGGTAAGAAAATATGTTGTTTATGATTTTTTTTTAACAGTTGTGCATGTGCTAATGTATTGCAGGATGGTAGTGCTAATTGTTACTACATGCTGATACTATATGTGTTTTTGTCAACAGGATGTACCGTTTTTAAGGGGAATGGCAGAAAAATCGTTGCAGGTTGTTTTGCTGTTCTTTTGTGTACTAAGAAACACCATTGATTTTGATTGTCATAGGAAGGTCCGCTAATCATTGTAGCCTTGAGTTTACTGTTTCTATATTAAATGATAGCAGAAGGGGGTTATAATACAGATACGGTGTTGTTGCTTTAAGCAACAATTATATCCATGTAGATCTGAAAACATGATCAAAAATATTTATTTATATGTTTTTGATGTGAAAATAATTATGCAACGTGTACAAATTTCTTCATGCATGTAAATAATATTCCCCCCCCCCCCCCAAAGAATTAAGAATTTTCTTCCCTCTTTTGTCATAACAAAAACAAACAAGTAAGATTAGTTTGTTGTCCTGGATTTAGTTGTTGTATTATGTATTGTGTAAAGTTAAGTAAAATTATTCAGCAGAAATTATTTTCAATTGAGAGAATTCCTAGTTAAGGTTTTGTGGGAACTTTGTTGCCTATAAACTATTGAAGGTATTCTCTTAAAAAGTTAAAATAAATACATTTTTTCAGGGTTCACAATCCAGAAACCTTTATGAACATTAACAATTATTGCTTAACAGGACTCAGTTGAGTAATTTAACATGAATGAAAAAAAAATTTTTTTTAAACCATTTGATGTCCATCTTGACCAAAAATTTGTGTGCAAAATTTGAGATCATTCACTCACATTATTTGACTGTACTTATGATAATACTTATTGTGCTATATGACCTAAGAATGAAGAGTGTTTAAATCTCAAATCAGGCTACAAATCACACTTTATATTGATTTTCAATTATTTTTTGAGTATATTTCTTTATCTTTTTCATATGTTTCTGTTTTTAAGTGAACCAGTTGATCTATGTAATTTAAAGACGTCATATGATGATGAAAGTCACATGACTTAATGTCGAAATTGAAATGTAAATATTGACCGTTGCATAGAAAATCTGATGTCATTTTTCGCTTTCTGTTTTATTTTCAATTTTCTGTATGTTTGTAATAGTTTATCAAAAAATTATTAAAAGTATGTAAAATAGATTCAAAAGCTAAAAAATATTTTTAACAAAATATTGGTAAAATTGTGTGCAGTTTTCCGGCCATTTATCATTTTCGTCCAGTACAGTCTATTTTTACCAGTAAGGCATCCACCTTACTTCATCAATCAGAGAAACATTTGTTTTCTATGCTAAACAGCATTTAAAATAGTACAACGATTTATATGTTATGAAGTTTTGCCTGTTATCTAAAGTTACATAAGAGAACTCGCTACTGTCAAAAATAAGCAATACCTGGGGAATTCTAGTTTGAATATCCATGCGCAATAACTAAGACCCCATTTTAGGTAAATCAAAATTTCAGAAAATATTTTTGCAGACGACACGGAAAAGGTCGGGAAGTTCTGTTTGTCTGATAAAACCATCTTAACATTGCTTTGTGGTACTGAATTATATTCAAAATAAAAAAGGTCCGGAAAACTGCTATGAATTTTTTAATAAAGGTGAAAAAAGGTGTTACATTTCAGGCCTATATTCAAATAAAAATTAAAATGAAAGTGCAACATTTAACACGTGGCAATGCTGGACAGGTACCTAACTTTGTCCTGTCAAAGTTTTGTACCCCGACGTAGACTGATTTTTATTTTTTTTGTTGAAAAGTGCAATTTGTGGCCGGAAACTGCTAGGAAACCAGTAGATCTCTGTACAGATAAGGGGAGATCACTTTATAGGTGAATGGAACAGAGCATTGTTGATTGAGTTATCCTACTGGCAGCTTGCATCATGTACAGGTACCACATGATATAAGTCGCGTCACGACAAAACCAACATAATGGGTTTGCGGCCAGCATGGATCCAGACCAGCCTGGAAATCCGGCAGTCTGATCAGGATCCATGCTGTTCGCTTACAAACCCTATTACAAGTAGAGAAACTTATAGTGAACAGCTTGGATCCTGATTAGGCTGCGCAGATGCGCAGGCTGGTCTGGATCTATGCTGGTCGCAAACGCACTATGTTGGTTTTGTCATGACGCGGCTCATATGTTTTATTCACACAGGAACGCCCCCAGCTGACGAGGTTAGTATACTAAGAGGTCAGTTGATGCTTCTACACAATCAGCTTATGTACGAGCGTCACAAGAGGGATCAACATGCTAAAAGAAACAGGCGACTTCTCAGAAAGATTGCACACTCGAAGACTTTGGAAGAACAAAACAATTCAATGGTAGGTATTATTTTCACACAAAAAAAAAATCAAGGCAAAGTGAAAACCTTGAGGCAACATGAGTTCAACTGAAGCATCTGTTAGGTACTTTTACCTGATTCAGTCAGTTTTAAAATTTACAAGATGGGAAAGGTTTACAGTATTGGCACTGATATGGGCAATTTCTTATTATTGTTCAAGGCCTTTTTGTTCTGTGATTTTATTTATTTTATAGGACAGTGAGAAGTTGAAATATTTTCATCATGTCATAAAATTATATGACTTAGTGAGCATATGAAATATTTATTTTACATTAAATGTGAAAATCTGAATTTTACAGTGCATAATATATTTACAGAGTGAGCTGTTGAAATGATTATTTTACATTACATATGACAGAGTGAGCCGTTGAAATGATTATTTTACATTACATATGACAGAGTGAACAGTTGAAATGATTATTTTACATTACATATGACAAAGTGAGCAGTTGAAATGATTATTTTACATTACATATGACAGAGTGAGCAGTTGAAATGATTATTTTACATTCATTATAACATATGACAGAGTGAGCAGTTGAAATGATTATTTTACATTACATTCGACAGAGTGAGCAGTTGAAATGATTATTTTACATTACATATGACAAAGTGAGCAGTTGAAATGATTATTTTACATTACATATGACAGAGTGAGCAGTTGAAATGATTATTTTACATTCATTATAACATATGACAGAGTGAGCAGTTGAAATGATTATTTTACATTACATATGACAGAGTGAGCAGTTGAAATGATTATTTTACATTACATATGACAAAGTGAGCAGTTGAAATGATTATTTTACATTACATATGACAGAGTGAGCAGTTGAAATGATTATTTTACATTCATTATAACATATGACAGAGTGAGCAGTTGAAATGATTATTTTACATTACATATGACAGAGTGAGCAGTTGAAATGATTAGATTATTTTACATTGCATATAACAGATTTAGCAGTTGAAATAATTATTTTACATTACATATAACAGAGTGAACAGTTAAAACAGAATGACGTGATGATACGAGATTTGCAGGTGTCAATAAAATTACTACAGGAGGAGAATCACAAACTAAAAAAGATAAAAGACGATGAGGAGCACACTAAACTTGTTCAGCTACGGTAAATATACCTAAACCTTATTCTTTTGAATTTATGTAATGAACTAGTTCTGTGGTTGGTTCCTTAGATGGGGCTCAAGTTTTCTGTGGCAATCAATCTTGGACATTGAGATATTATAGTCATTTGTCTCTCACCGCTGATTCAGAAATCATGTGGGATTAGTAGTCAGGTCATTTGCACAGAAATTGGTAAATTACTGGTTAGGTACTTGGGAAAGCTGGTAAGGTGGACTGGACTGACCACCTTGATGTGACCTAAAATGTGTTGAAATTAGCATTAAAACATTATAACGTTAAAATCAACTATACAAACGTTTTTAATTTGAAGCTGTCCATTATGAGTTTCAGCGTTTTCAGTGAATGAAATTGAACAACCAGCGATGTCATGAAAATTTATAAATTTATAGATAAATAAATAAATGTAATTTATACATTGCAAACAACACTTGAAATTTATGATTATTACAAAAAATAGGTTACAATATGCAAAAAAGCCCTGACTGTGTTATTCACACAGTACAAAAACATGGTGATAAATACTGCAAAATCAGACATTAATTGTATGTAACATATAAATCATTTCTTTCTTAAATTGGGATGTTTATTTTACTTTTCCTAAAATCTTAATACATTTTCAAGGTTGATTTTCCCGAAATATTTTGTCTTATATGGAGGCATGCAGCTTTTAATTATATGACCAAGTGTTATATATAAGCTGATCTATGAAAAAAATTTTTTTTTTTTTTTGGATTTTTAGCTCACCAGAACCGAAGGTTCAGGTGCTATAAGTATTAAAGGGGGATACTCCATCGTCCGGCGTCATGCGTCAACAATCGTCTTCTTCTCTGAAACTGCTGGGCAGATTTACCTCAAATTTGGTCTGTAGCATCATTGTGACAGTCGCACTTGAATTTGCTCATGTCATTTCAGTTGGTCCCTTTTAGGGGTCAGCAGAGCTAAAAATAGAAAAACCTTTAAACATCTTCTACTATACAGAACTAATTGATGGATGATCACCAAACTCTGTCTGTAGCATTCTTATTTTTTTGTAACTTTTTGTTTTTGTTTTGTTGTAAAATGGTGACAGATTGAGAGTCAGACTATTCTAATGTGGTGTAGCCGTGAGTTACTTACCCAGAATGCAATATTCTAAAAATAGCATACTGACATAAATACTGTGATGTATCAATTGTTATTACAGAGCCTGCTTGCAGGAGAATGAAGATTTGAATAATGCCAAGAAAGAGTTAAATATGCTTCTCGTACGACAAAGGGAAGAACAGGATACCTTGAAAAAGGTACGTGTTTTGGGGGATTTTTTTAGCCTGAATTTTTGTCCCCTATCTGTTAGTCTGCCTATTTAGCTAACTATCTGTTAGTCTGCCTATTTAGCTAAATAAGGAGACCATCAGGTTTGTAATCCAGTTGTTTTTGACTTAAAATTCAGCCTGCAATAACATTTACCAAGCTTCACAATTATCATTTCTGTTTCAAATTTGACATTGCTTTCTTTTTCTTTTCAGAGAATTATGGCTACGGAAGCAAAATTGTTTAATACAGAAAAAGAATTGGAAAAAATGAGAGACGTGGCAAACCATAATACAAAATTAAAAGAGCAGGTAGGTTGTTTCTATTTTTGTATCCACAGAAAACAATTACATCAGGTATGTCTGTTATCATAAGTTTTTTCTTTTTCATTGCTAAGGTTTTGTTATGGATTTTTCCTGCTTTGTAACTATCCATCTTATGTTTAAGGGATGACAGGATCAGAATGCTACAACACCTTACGTTTGAGATGTTTTGAACTTTGTGTGTTTATTGTTAATTTCATGGGAGGCGTGTATGGCCGAGTGGTTAAGATCCTTGACTTCAAACCACTTGCCTATCACAGCTGTAGGTTTGGTCCACGCCAGTATCTTTGGATTCTATTGTTAGAAAGCTATCCAACTAGCTTACAGAACCTTAGTGGTTCTACTCAGGTGTATGTTTGTGCCTGACTGGCCTGGAAAAAAAAATGCAAAGAGGGACACTTTAGGTCTTCCTCCACCAGTAAAGCTGGAAAGTCTCCATATATGACCTATACTGTGTTGTTATGACATCAAACCCAGTGTAGTTTGTACAAGCTTTTTTTTTCCCAGGATTTTGGGAACATGACCTATACCCATGGAATTAGGAATTTTGGCGATGTTTTGTTAAAATTGGGAAAAAATGCATGACTTAAATTTTGAAGTGATTGAAATGAATGCAAAGAATCACTGTGTAGGATAGCATTTTAAAACATTTCAGCACCATAACAGTGAAAAAGCCCTTGTTTTCAAAGATTTTAGAATTTGATATTCAAATATTTCTAATTTGTTCAATTGGGAATTTTTTCCTGTGGATTGGGAAAATAATATACAATTTTAGTTTTGAATATGACCAAATATTGGCTATAAAATAGGTCAAAAATATGTGATGTAGTAGTGTAAATTTCATGGAATTAATAACGCTCAACCTGTTGACTTTATGTAATGTATTTGTCCAGATTTTTAATTTGGAGAATTGATTGAAACTTCACACACTTACATGAGAGCATTTGACAGAGATAATAACAGAAATCTGGTTTTTTTTCATTAAAAAATTTCCAAATTCACATTACCAGCTCGTTTTTAATCGACCCCCGAGCAGCTACTGACACCCTTTGGTATAATTTGGAATTAAAACAGGACATTTGCGTTTAACAAAAATTTTTTGTACTTTAAAAGGTTTTAAAAACAGAAGGAATGCGCTGAGGGGGAATTACACAGAAATGAAAGAAAACTACGGTCAAAAATCACGAGAGCCAAAAACCGGTTTGAAAAGAAAAGGGGCGACGTTACAGAAAAATTGAATTTTTAATTTTTTAGTTCAATTTTTTAACTTTTTTTTTAAAGTCATTTAGCTCTTGTAGCCATAGATAAATGAAAAGATAAAATTGTTATTGATTTTAAATAAATTTTGATTTTCTAGGGTCAAAAATATCCCCGGCTGAGCATAAAGGGGTTTTGCAGGGTGCAAGGGCTTAAAGTTTTCAAAATGACACGGGTTTTTTCGACCCAAAAACGGGCCAAACAATTTTCTCTTTTTTAAACACTATTCAGAGGTTACTTTGTTCTAAGCTCAAACTAAAAACCCGAGACTGTCTTAGACGTTTTGAGACATCCAAAATCTGTCCAAACGCAAAAAATAATGGGGGCATGGAGAAATATCGGTAGTAGCAATATATATTAAAAAATTTTGTAAACTGTTAGTATCAACACAAACAAAACGTTTTTTGCCATTCCCCCTCCCCTTTGTAGGTTTGAATCCCGACAGGATTAGGATTTTTCTGTGGGGAACTACCCAGCAGTTCGGAATTTTCTGGGGTTCACCAGTACCCTTTTAGGCTTTTAAAAGCTAAAAGGCCCCTGAGGTTTTCCCCCACCATTAGCGGAACATCGCGATATGACCAAATATTGTGCGATGTGACTAAAAAAAACAAACAAAACAAAAAATTTTCGTCAAAATTCGTTCTACGGCTGTCGTAGGGCTAATGTGATGGAAGCTTTAGATAGTTGTCTATTGAAATAATTTTCTATTAACAGAGAATAAGAATAAACTAAATGAGAAGACGTTGCTTCTGGAATCATGCCAGCATCAGCTAAATGAACTCCAAGAAATACTCGCTAATAAGGAGACAGCATTGTCCGAGTTAAAGACGATAGTGGAGAAAATCAAGACAAGTCATGATGATGAGTTAAAGGTACAATGAGGTCAATTAAATAAATTTAATTTTTTTTTAATTAGGTCAACAAAATAACAGTCTGTTTCTTAATTAGGTCAACTTAATAATTTTCAATTTCTTAATTAGGTCAACTTAATAAATTTCTATTTCTTAAATAAGTAAATGAAATAACTGTCTGTTTCTTAACCAGGTCAACATAATATCAATCTTAATCATAATTAGGTCAACATATTAACTTTTTGTTTCTTAATCAGGTCAACATAATATCAATCTTACTCATAAATTAGGTCAACAAAATGTCCTTAATTCTTATTTTGGTCAACAAACTAATTGTTCTTTATGTTAATTAGGTTTTAAATCAAACACCTATTCTTAATTTTTTTAACAAAAAATATTTTTTAAATTTGGTAGCAAATATTTCTGTTTTTTAAATTTGGCAACATAAGGACTTTTTCTTCTTCTCACCTCGTATTATTAAAAAAAATTTTTTTTGTTTATTTTTACATTTATTTCCCTTTCGGAAAAAAATTTTTAAAACAAAAGGTCAAAAAAATAAATTTTTTTTAAATTTGAAAATTTTATCTGTCTTTTTAATTAGGTCTTAAATAACCATTTGTTTTTTAATTTTGAAAAAAATAGTTTTTGTTTTTATTTTGATTCTAGGTCAAAATAAACGGTCCCATTTTTTTGGGGAATCAAAGTAAAAATTTTTGTAAGGCCCAAAAAAGTTCTGTTTGTTTTTTCATTCCTACCCCCGAAAAATTGTGGTAAGCGCTAACAGAAAAATTCTTAAATTTCTACTTTGATCAAGTTACCACCATATTGGCCTTACTGTATTTTCACCCTTAACATGTGAAATATATTCGATGGACTTGCCTTTCTTTAAATCTATAAAAAACCATACATAATTTTTTCGTGTGAAAATTTATACAAAAAAAAATGTTCTGCCTGGATAGCCTACAGTGCTGACCATATACAGACTGTACAGATTTTCCACAGATCTTGGTCTACACTGGTTACATGGGTAGAATTAGTTGCCATCAGCACTGAGCAGGCTTAAAATAAAATTATACATGCCCTGTTGTATGAAAGGTCATTTTTTGTCCAAATATTTACACAAAAATGTTTTGAAAAGCCAGGGATTTTTTCCAGGATTTGGGGAACATGACCAATACCCATAGAATTGTTAATGTCAGTGATGTTTTGTTAAAAATTGGGAAAATATGCATGATTGAAATTTTGCAGTGATTTCCGGTAAATGAATGCAAAGAATCACTGTCTGGGATGACATCTTTAAACATTTAAAGCACTATTACAGTGAAGAAGCCCTTATTTTCAAAGATTTTAGAATTCTTTATTCAATATTTTTATTTTGTAACTTTCAATTGGGAATATTTTCCTGTGGATTGGGAAAATAAAATACTATTTTCAATTGGGAATATGACCCAATAATGGCTATAAAATAAGCCCAAAAAAATCCCTGAAAGCGCAAAATTACCTGCTTAATTGTATTTTAGGTTGTTTTACTGAATGTTTTTTAGAGATTTTATAAGAATAAGATTTGAGCTTTTCATATATTTTGTCTTCATTAAGAGTGTGGAGGACAAGCATATAGCAGCGACACGTGTAAACCAGGCACTAGAGTCACAAATTCTACAACTGTACGTGGAACTTGAGGAGGTCAAAGCGAAACTTAAAGGTGAAATGATAAGACAATTTTATCTTTAGTCATTTTAAATGAGAAATTGAAAAAATCATGTTGATTGTGGCCAACCAGTGAGATATTTGTATTTATTATATGATCTATATATAAATGACTTTCTCCGATTGGTTAAGATGTAATTTTTCGTAATAAATAACTAGTGAATATCAGAGTGTATTGACTGATTTTTTTCTCTAAAAATAGATTTTCTGGAAAGCCCACAAAAGATGCATGCTATAAAGTTACGTCATGCCAAGTTTGTTGTTATTTTTTGGAGAAAACATTGGGCAACTCGCAAATGAATTTAAAATTAGTCTATTTTAGTAACCAGCTTTACATTTTTAAGAATATTTCAATTGAAGCGTGCCAGTGTGCTCATTAAAATGTCAGAGCCAAATAATGGAAAAAGTAGACAAGGTGAAAAATGTTGATTTCACTCGTATTCAGTGGCAGATTTGATATCCCATATAAAAACGTTTTATAGATTATAAAATAAAACAGAAATGGACCTTTTAGCAGCTAAAAAGTTCATATTTGTATAATATTGAGCATACATTTATAAAGTCCTTTTTTTGTGGGTTGTCTCTTTCGAAGAAAAAGTCAAGCTATCATGATCGTTATTGCGTGAGCATAATCGTCGTCATGCTAAATCTTTGATGATGCTTATTATTCAAACCTTTAAAATAGTATGAATACTTACTTATTATGACAAGTAGCAGTTGTTAGACAAGGGGCATTATTCTGAAAGCAATATTTTTGGAGTTATGGCCCTTTTTAACTTAGAATTTTGAACAGACAACATTAACACTGCATGTGGTGCTCTTATTTTTCACAAACAATTTTAATTAAAATTACATTAGTAAGGTTGATTGCTATTAGATTAAAACATCTGTGATACTAGATAGTATAACTATGTTATCAGTGGCTGAATTTACCCTATTTTTAGCTCACCTGTCACAAAGTGACAGGGTGAGCTTTTGTGATCGCTTTTCGTCCGGCATCCGTCCGTCCGTCGTCCGTCCGTAAACTTTTGCTTTAAATGACATCTCCTCATAAACCGCTGAGCCAATTTCATCCAAACTTCACAGGAATGTTCCTTTGGGGGTCACCTTTAAAAATTGTTCAAAGAATTTAATTCCATGCAGAACTCTGGTTGCCATGGCAACCGAAAGAAAAATCTTTAAATATCTTCTTTTAAACAACCCTAAGAGCTAGAGCTTAGATATTTGGCATGAAACATCTTTTAATGAGTG